GGGCCCCCCCTCTTGAGGGGCCCCCCACCCCACAGGGGGGCCCCCCTCCCGAGGGGCCCCCCAACCCTCAGGGGGGCCCCCTGGGGGCCTCTGTGTCTGTTCTGTGCTGCTGCAAACCCTCTTGCTTCAAGCTGCCTGCTGATGAAGACACGCCGCTGCTGCTTGTTGCTGCTGGCACAGGTACAGCTGCTGCTGCTGCTGCTGCTGCTGCTGCTACTGCTGCTACTGCTGCTACTGCTGCTTTTGCCGCTGCAGCAGCAGCTGCTGCTGCTGCCGTTTCTATCGGCGCTAGAAGGCGCCACGGCTCAAAGCGTAGGGCTTAGGGTTTAGGGTTTAGGGTTTAGGGTTTAGGGTTTGCTTGCTGCTGCAGGCGTTGCCCCGTTTGCTGCTTTTGTAAGACACCTGGCAGCAGTGGGGGCCCCCCGAGCTGCAGCACATCTTTTTTTCGGGTGTACAGACACGCGGCACTTTCTTTACAAAGATCTTTTTCTTTCTCACCTCGACTGGCAGCAGCAGCAGCAGCCAGAGGTGCAGCAACTCCTCGAACAGTACCTGCGGAAGCAGAAGCAGAAGCAGCAGCAGCAGCAGCAGCACGTGCTGAGCCGCATCTTTCTAGCTCTTTCCCGGGTCAACCCAGAGGTACTGCTGCATTTTACTTTCTTGCTTTCTGTTTATGCCCTGGTGCTGCTGTAGCTGTTGCTGCTGCTGCTGCTGCTGCCGTTGCTGCTGCTGCTGAGCCGTGTGTCTAGCCGCCGCTGCTGCTGCTGCTGCTGGGGCTGTGCATGCAGCGCAAGGTGTACGTACAGCACAAAATTGCCGAAGAGGGGGAACTTGTGTGGGGTTTGCTGCAGTCGGGTGCTGCAGTGTATGTCTGCGGGTAAGTCCTGATCTGACTGCTGCTGCTGCTGCTGCTGTTGCTGCTGCTGTACAGGTTGCTACTGTTACTGCTGCTGGTGCGCTGTAGAGGCTGATACTTCTGCTGCTGTGCTGTGAAGGCTGCTACTGCTGCTGCTGCAGCAGCAGCTGCTGCTGCTGCTCCAGCTGCTGCTGCTGCTGCAGAGGCTGCTGCTGCTGCTGCTGCTGGAGTGTCTGTACAGGAAGCCGGCAATGGGGGAGGCGGTGCAGGCTGCTCTTGTCTCTGTTGCTGCTGCTCATGTAGGACAGAAGAAGGCGGAGGCCTTCATTCAGCGCATGCACGACAGTACGCGCTTGCTGCTGCTGCTGCTGCTGCTGCTGCTGCTGCGGGTGCTGTTGCAGCAGCTGCTACTGCAGCTGCTGAAGCAGCTGCTGCTGCTGCTGCTTCTGCACTGGTTGCCGCTGCTGCGCAGCTGACGCTGCTTGACGGCTTGCTGCGGCTCTGGCTGCTGCTGCTGCTGCGGCGTTCGAGTTTCGTAGTAGGACTGCAGCAGCTGCTGCTTCGTTTGCTGCTGCCGCAGCAGCAAGCACCTGCTGCTGCTTCTGTCTCTGCATGCAGCTGGGCGGTACATAAAGGAACTATGGGACTAAAGGAGCTACCGGACAAATGAAGTTCCCTTCGTTAGCAGCAGCAGCAGAGGGTGGGGGGCCTCCAGGGGCCCCCAAGCCAGGGGGCCCCCAGGACCCTTCACTGCTGGGGGTCCCCCCTCCTTTCTCCCAGGGGGCCCCCTGGAGGCTCCCCACATATGTGGGTCTTAAGGGGCCCCCCGGGGGCCCCTAGGGAACACTTTAATTTGTACTGGGGCCCCCTAGGGCCCCTAGGGGCCCCCTGGGGGCCCCCGGGGGCCTTTTAGGGACTTTGGGGGGCCCCTCCAGGGCGCCACAGGGCCTTGTGGGGCCCCCCAAACCCCAGAGCTGTTGGGCTGTTTTTTTTGCTGCAGTTATGTACTCCTAATTGTTTTGCTGCAGGGTTTAGAGAGGCGGGGGCTTGCTGCTGCGCTCTAGGGTTTAGGGTTTAGGGCTTAGGGTTTAGGGTTTAGGGTTACTGCTTAGGAGAAAGCTTAGGGGATATGCATGCATATATATACAAACAGAAATTCGGAATTAAAGTAAAGAAATATATTTGGACAAATATATTTAATTAAATATTCTTAAAATAAACAAATAAATTAGGACAAATATATTTAATTATATATTCTGTATATTTATGTAAAAAAATAAAAAGAAATAAGTACAAAGGCTTAGCAGTTAGCCCCCTAGCGGGCCTCGCTGGTGTGCAGCTGCGCCGTTTGCTGCTGCTGCTGCAGCAGCAGCAGCAGCTGCTGCTGCTGCTGCTGCTGCTGCTTTTTCAAATGCAGTTGAATATAAACAAATGGCTTGAAGGCAGTGGAAAGCCCCAAACGCATGCAGAAGTGCAGCAAAGTAGTGCATGCATAGATAAGTCCAAATGCTTTTATTTTTATTTATTTTGAAAGACTTTAATTTCTTTTTTGTCCCTTTGGAAACTTATAAGTACTCTTCTAAAATGGCATTTTTATTAAACTCTAATGACTCAAACTTGGATTTATTTTGTTTTTATTTTTTCCATTTTTAATTTTTTTCTTTTTGCGTTCATAGTTGTGCAGTTTCCACTGTACATACACCTCCGTACTTTGCAGTAAATGGTAATTTAATTAAATTCAACTTTTTAATTTTAATTTATTTCTAATTTTAATTTTAATTCTAATTTTAATTTTAATTATAATTATAATTTTAATTATTATTTCTATTTGCATGCATTTGTGCACTCCACGGAGCCTGGCTTCTGTGAGTTTCAATTTGTTTCATTTTTCAGTTTTTTGCTTTTGAATTATTTTTAAGTTTAATTAAATTTAAATTTGTTTTAATTTCAAAATCCATTTTAATTTCAAAAGGCGTTTTTGCATTTTGCTGCTGCATGAGGCCTTTTGCTGCAGCAGACCGAAGGCCCCCTTGAAGCTCCCCAAACTCTGTCTTCAGCGAGGGCAAGCTCTAGGGTTTAGGGTTTAGGGTTTAGGGTTTGCTGCCTTGGCGTGCGTGAGTGGCATGGGCCTGAAGAGCCGGTGGGTGAAACAGCTGCGGAATCTCTAGCTGGGAAATGCCTTAGACCTGAGCTACTGCTAGGGTTTAGGGTTTAGGGTTTAGGGTTTAGGGTTTGGGGTTTGGGATTTAGGATGTGACCTCGGCTTGAGCGTTGCCGCTTCCCTCTGGAAGGATGGGGTTGTGTGGTGTTGCTTCGAAGCAATTTTAGCGAATTAATTTTGTCGTGTTTAAATTGCTGCTGCTGCTGCTGCTGCTGCTGCTGCTGCTGGTGCTGCTGCTGCTGCAGTTGCTGCTGCCGGTGGTCGGTGTCCGGAAGTGACCATTGCTGCTGCTGGCGCTGCAGCTGTCCTTCTGCGCCAAACTGCAGCAAACTGAAACAACTGAGGTTTTTAAAGTTTAAAATAAATTAAATGGCATTTAATTAAACCACTAAACCGCTTCTTCCTCGCCGCGAGCTGTACGTACACCCCAGCTCCACAGAAGCTGCTGCTGCGCCGGCTGCCCACAGCGGCGTCGCACTGCCGCAGCTGGAGGCCCCCGGGGGCTTTCTTGAAGGATATAAATGGTTTTTTGTTTATTTTTTACTGAAAAAATATATTTTTAACTAAAAAATTAAAAAGTAGAAGCTTAAAAGGATAGAAGCAGCCGCGGAAGGCAGCGCGCTGTCGGGTCTGTCTCGCGGTCCGCGCAGGAGCCCGTGAAACACTGAATTAGGGTTTAGGGTTTGGGGTTTTCCAAGCGCCGCTGCTCCTTGCGGAAACTTGAGCCTGCTGCGCTGCATCTTATTGCCGAAGCAGCCAGCAGCAGCAGCAGCTGCTGCTGCAGTTGCTGCCACTACTTGTCTGGACAGCAGCAACAACGCAACAACAGCAGCAGCAACAACAGCGAAGACGACCGCAGCAGCAGCAGCAGCAGCAACCGCAGCAAGCGCCTCGCCCTGCATCTTCTTCTGCAGCCGCAGGACTGCAGCTCCAAACCCTAAACCCTAAACCCTAAACCCTACGCAGCAGCCCCGTAGGAGGCAGGCATCATGGAGGCTTCTAGGGTTAGGGTTTTGAAAGACTAATTGCTTAGAGGGTTTGGGGTGTACGTACACCTCAGGCAGCTTCCAGACTGACCCTTCTTTTGCTGAGTAGGGCCCCCAGGGGCCCCAGCAGCAAGCTGCTGCGGGGCCCCTCGGTGCGTTGTCCTAAACCCCAAACCCTAAACCCTAAACCCTGGACCCTAAACCCTAAACCCTAAACCCCGGGCCCACTGGCTGCTTCCAGAATTGCTGCACTGAAGAAAGAACAATGGGGGCTGTTCAGGGCTCAGACGGGGCCGAGGATCGCGAATACCAGCAGCAGCTGCAGCAGCAGCAGCAAGAGCAGCAGCAGCAGCAGCAGCAGCAGCAGCAGCAAGAGCAGCAGCTGCAGCAACATGACCTGCAGACACAAACTAAACAGGGAGCCCAAACTTCCCTCTACGACTCACTAGGGGCCATACAGCTCGGAAACCCACAACAGCAGCAGCAGCAGCAGCAGCAGCAACTGCTGCCGCAGCAACCGCAGCAGCTTCAGGAAGTTCATCCGTCTGTGGTGGATCCACAGCACTCCGGCTCCCACGAACATGAGCAGCAGCAGCAGCAGCAGCAGCAACAGCAATATGCTTGGGGTTTAGCACCAGGGGGCCTTCCTGGGGCCCCTCAGCAGCAGTCCAGCTGCAGCGTTGACGTGGCTAGGCCGTCATCTGCTTCTGATCCTGCAGCAGCAACAGCAGCAGCAGCAGCAGCCGCAGCAGCAGAGCCAGCAGCAGCAGCACAGCAGCAGCAGCAGCAGCAACAGCAATATGCTTGGGGTTTAGCACCAGGGGGCCTTCCTGGGGCCCCTCAGCAGCAGTCCAGCTGCAGCGTTGACGTGGCTAGGCCGTCATCTGCTTCTGATCCTGCAGCAGCAACAGCAGCAGCAGCAGCAGCAGCAGCAGCACCTGAGTCCCGGGGCCGGCTGCGAGCTGAAGGACACAAAAGCGGGAAGCGGCTGCCGCGGGACTGCTCGGGGTCTGTGTCTTGGAGATTAAGTGATTCAGTTTTTAGACAAAGAGTTCGAGAAATTTGTGCTCGTGCTGCAGTTCATCCTGCTGCTGCTGCTGCTGCTGCTGCTGTTGCTGCTGCTGCTGCTGCTGCTGCTGCTGTTGCTGCTGCTGCTGCTGCTGCTGCTGTTGCTGCTGCTGCTGCTGCTGCTGGGGATGCTGTCGCTGCTGGGGCTGCGGGGGGCGCTGGTGTCACTGCTACTGTTGGTAGAGCTGCTGCTGCTGCAGGCTCCTGTGTTGCTGTCGCTGCTGCTGGTGCTGCTGCTGCTGCTGCTGCTGGCTCTGCTGCTGCGGCTGCTGCTGC